GAGTATCTGAGAAGATGGACAGAGACTGGAGGAGAGGCAGAGAACTGGGGAGACAGAAAGCAAAGAGAAAGTGGGTGAGGGAAAGGCAGAGCCTTATTGTATCCCAACAGAGAACAGATGTTTTCCCCTCCTAAATGAATTAGTGTATGCAAATGTAAATGGCACCACTGTCTCTGGGGACAGATGGGAAACCACATTACTGCACCCTGCACATTACTACACCCTTCCTGCCCCAGGGAACTGCTTTCCTTGATTAATCCAGACCATCCGACCAATAGTGTAACTACGGAGGAGGGGGCAAGTAAGGCACCATCTCTGGGCACTGACTATGAGGGAGCACCAAAACTGCCCTTCTGGGAGTCTTTGTCACAGCAGGGGCAGTCCTGCACTACCTGGCCATAGGAGCTGGACAGCACAACCCTCCCCCTCCATGTATCTGAAGGGACAGGAGATGAGTTGGGTGAGAAGAATGGTGCTGCTACTCACTGTGAGTCTTTGGTATAGCAGGCACAACCCTGCACCCAACAGTATATGGGCAGGAGTGAACAAGGCATCAGGTGCAGCTCCTAATGTTGCTAGAACAGCAGCAGTGGCAGCAGCTGCCTTCAATGTGCAGACAACCTGGGCAGGTAAGACTTTCCTTCCCCTGTGGTAGGCATAACACCCCGCTTCCCCAGGCACTGAATGAGCTCCCTATGCCCCTGTATCTGACACAATGGTTGGGTGGAAAGTTTGATGAAAGAGAAATGGGAATGTGACCCTTGCTGCAAGAAGGTTAAATTGGGCTCTTGGTTAGACTGACCCCAGACCTCCAAACTCTGTCCATCTTGGACCAAACATTGGCAGGATTCATACTTTTGACAAGCTCTGTGAAGGACAGTTGCTACAGCCAGGACAGTGCTCTTGGAGCCTTCCTCCCCCGTGCCCTCAACAAACATGCAGTCCAAATTCCTGTCTGTGCCATCTCCGAGGAGACAACTGCAAACACACTGTTGAGAGCAGGGAACAGCCTGTTAAACAGGCTTGGGTGAAGAGGTATTAGAATGAACAGCAATGCTGCAGGCTCCCAAATCACCAACTGCCTGAGGGCTGACCGCTGCCACACCTCCCTTGCCTGCTTTAATGGAAACCAGCCTGGGGTCCCATTGCTCAGTGAAAACTCCCACCTGCAGCAAGTGCTATGAGTAGTCTGAAAACTGCCCAGGCTCTTAATGACCTTCTGTGGCAGGGAACTCACTGGCATTCCCTCTGAGGTGCCTGCGTGTTGCACAGAGAATTATTGCCACTGTTGTTACTCAGCTCCTGGCTCTGTTGGTCGATGGCAGTGCAGAAAAATCAAGTGTCCATGCTGACTCTTTCAGATCTGCTGTCTGCCTTTGATGCTGTCGATCACAAGGTTTTGTTGACATGCCTGTGAAGCCCAGCAGGGATAGACAAAGTGGTGCTTTGACAACCCAGTTAATCCTGTTTCAAGTAAACCTCCTGCCTCAACAACTGCCCCCAGAGCTTCTTTTCTTGGGACTTCATACTTAAGCTCCACGTCTTCAGGCACCAGTCCCACATAAATCCTCCCTCCTGAGCCCGCTGCTGCTCAAGCCGGTCAACCCATTTAACTTCTCTCTCCTTTTCCCACTCTTGGTACACATCCACCACACCATCTCCTGCATCTGAAACACTCCCCCATCTCCCAAACAGCACTTCCCCCTTCCTTTGCGCCATTCCCCACCTCCTCCCCTCCTCTTATGCAACCCCACCTCTCTTCTCTTCAGCAAGTTTCTACAGCATCCTACCATGGAAGAGTGGCCACCTTTGAGAGTCAGCGGGCACTGTCTGGGGTGCTCTGCTCGGTGTACCCCATTGGTACACTTCTTTTTAACCTTTGACCCACCTGCATGTTCCTTTTTTGTCATTTTTTGTCTCCCAGAACCAATTGTTGCTCTTTTTCTCTCACCACCCTACTAAGTGGCAGCTCTCAGTAATGTAGCGGGCAAGCCCACGTAACCAAAGGCAACAACTAGGCCTACCATGGAAGAGATGCTGATCAGGTAAATGAAACAGAAAGATAGGTTTCCGTCCTCTTGAGAGGGACATCTTTGGGTTAGCTGGTGTGCAACTGAGCAATCCTAATAGCTCAGGGACCAATTTTCAGATGGCCAAATACACTTTTCTCACCTGCTCTTAGCCAGGTGCTTGTAACATTGAGAAGATGCAGACCTTGCTGAGGATCCAGGCCTGTCTCCTCCAGATTACACTACTGAAGTGTGCTTTTAAGGGAATTGCTCCTGAAGACTGCTTGGAAATCTCATGCATGGACAGTATCACTCTACTTGGTAGTCTGCACTGTGTTCAATTAGCTTCCTAGTTCTGGTTTTGATATCATATATTATATATGTCATATATGTCATGAGCTAAGAAGCCCTTTCTAGTTCGGTTACTTTATAGATATGCACTCACCCTCTGCCCCTCCCCACCCCCAAACACACACACACACACTTTTTCTCTCTGGATTTGTCATGTCTAGACTGCTAATACACCATGCTCTGAAGTGCTGCCCTCAAGCACTATGTGCAGCTTTGCACATGCTAGTTCCATGGACTGGAAGATCCATAGCTATCTCCACAAAGTACCAAGGGCAGGGTAACTAGTACTGCTAAGATGGGAAGCCAATTAGCCTTGACCTTGGCAGCATGCAGATGCATCTAAGCCAGGGATAAGCAAGCTTTTGGAGCAGTGGGCCAAATTAACCCACTTCAGATCTGCAGCAGACCAGTGATCCCAACCTGGCATGCTACCTGCACCACCACAGTGTGGGAAAAGCCCCCCTAGACACCTGACCATGGCATGGACAAAGTTCCCATAGCTTCCCAAAGTATGGCAGACAAAACGATCCAGCCACCGCACAGGCAAAGCTGCCCAGGCACAAAGCCACCCCCAGCTTTGTGGACTAGATTCTATGGTTCTGCAGGCTGAATCCAGCCCATGGACAATATATATGTTGCCAACCCTTGATCTACACTGTTTCCAGTCCAGAAAGCTAGCTTGCAGTGCCACATACTGTGGTTAAGAGTGATGATGCCAGACACGATGAATCTGAAGCCCAGACATGGCCACTGAAGCCAATTATTTCTCTTTAGGGCATGTGGCAAGGCTTATATATTTACACAGACGTATTTTTTTCTGTCTTTGGAGTTTTAATTTAGAGCAGGTAGGACTTGGAATCTTTTAGTGAGTGCCTGATTAATTGGGTAGCAGCTAATTGCATCCTTTAATTTATGTTAACATTGCACATGCCATTAGATTGCCTGACAAGTGTGCTTTATAGACCCTAAAACACTGCCCTTAAGATTGTCCTGAGAGCCCTTGTCCTATTCCCAGGCACCCCTTGCTCCCATACTCTGGGAGAAGCTTAAAAAAAAGACAATCTGGTTATTTTTCACTAAACCTAAACACAGTTCAACTGGCTGTCAACTCTAAGACAAAATATATTCTGGGGAATGTCCACAATATGCGTCAGAAGGTTTTTCAGTGTTTATATTGTTTTAATAACTTATTTTGCTAATAGAAAGAATGAGATTCAGTCCCCAAATGCTTGCTGACCTTTGCAGACAATGCCAGTCTCCTTGCCCCCCTCAGCTGGTGCTGTCCAGACACAGAGCCAATTTGGAACTTCTACTCAGCCTGCTTCTAATGACTCCGCCTACATGGGCTAATATTACACAATATATAGCAATATAATACACCCAAAACCCCAAACTCCTGACAAGTGAAAACCAAATTCTCAGTTTGCATGAAGCGGTGTGTACCTTCATTAGCTTTAGCAGAGCTGTGGTGATTCACACTAACTCAGAGTCTGGCCCTAAAAAACCTTGTTTTCTCTCACC